GCTTCATTTCCACGTTTTCCTGCTTTGCAAGTGAAGTGCAAAGGAATCTAGAACATTCAAAAGGAAAAGTAGCACAGTTAGAAGAAAAACTGTAAGTAGTAAGAAGGGAATTGACTTGGTTGACAAGATTTCATCTAACTGTGCTTCCAGCTTATCCCTTAGAGTCAGCAAAACAGGGGCTGTGTCCCTGCTGAGAAGGAACAGACATTATCAGTGTTGGTAACCTGGAAAAAATGGGATGGAATGAACTTGTAAGAACTGCTGTGTTCTTCTAAAATGACCATACAAAACATTGTTCCTTCAGAGTATTTCCAAAAGACAGACTGTACCATCTCAACCCTTTGTCTTCCAGGGTGGTGTGGGTGGGATTTTCTTGGGTATGGGATGGGGAGGGAAGACATAAATCTTGAGAACTGTTGTTCATCTCAGAGCAAGCCATTCATGTAGATTGGATGCTTCTGGCTCCTTAGACTACTAAGTTAGGAATAAGCAAGAATGAAAAAGCTTTAGAGCAGGAGCTGAAATCCTAATTCAGCAGCCAGGCATTTCACACAGATTCCCTGGACACGTGGGTGTTCTCCAGAGAGTGGCACTGAAGAGCCACTGTGGTGCCTTCCCAGTTGCTTTGTCCTGGACGTTCTCTGAACAAAGGCAGCTGCAGAGTGGCTTGGCTTCAGCAGCTCTGTGTAGAGAGAGACTGAGATCTAAATCAACACTTCCTGTTCTGCCCAAATAATGCCACTTGCAGCACAGGAACAGTGCACTGTTTTTGCTGAGGATGGTGACCTCTGAAGGATGAACTTCTGTTTTAGGTCAGTTTTGCCTGATTGGCACTGCAGCACAACTGGAATGTTAAAATACACAAAGCTGATAATGCAGGTAGTGCAGTCACAAAGAGAGGACGTGATAATTTGCTACAACAGCTGCATTATGTTTATGCATTCTGATGTTTGTGGCAGAATATGGCTCAGCATCTTTACTGCAAATGAGGAGACCATATGGAACAAGTATTAAAAGAGGGTAGAATCCCCATGTAGAGCCAAGAGCAGTTTGTCAGCTAAACTGGATTATGAAAGGTGTGTGTTACTGTGTAGCTCTGGATTTGCTTAAATATATCCATCCTAAAAACTTCCTGGGTTTAGGTCTGCTGCCGAGAGAGAGAAAGTTGTAGAAAAGTCTGACCCTGAAAACCTCCTAGAATCCATCACAGAGCTCAGGTAACAACAAATTGTTCTCAAGTTGGCTGGGGTAAGTTAAAAGGTGGTAAAACTAAGCCTGGCTTATGACTGGTGAAGTAGAACTTTGGCAATAATCGTAGGGGAGGGAAAAGAAACCAGGTATTTTTCCACACAATGGAAAGTAATTGTAAGATATTATTTTAATTATCTTTCTAAATGCCTCTGTGCTTTTTCTGGGCTGAGCAATACTGTGGAAGAGTTTTATGTCCATGTAAACCAGTGCAAAAAGTTGTTTGGAAAAGTAGGTGGAAGCAGTTTTTTCTATTGGAAACCAACACTCCTAAGCATTTTTCCTTTGGGTTGAAGTGTAAACTTACAAATAAAATTTAGTAGTAACAAGTGCCTGAATTTTCTCCTGCAGTAGTGTTACAGAAACTGCTGAGAAATACAAAGCCAATGTTGCTCAGCTGGAGGAGACACTGATTAAGAAAGACCAAGATATTGAGATCCTGAGGGATTCCCTCAAAACAAAAGAAGAATCACGTCAACTGATGAAAGAACTTAATGAAAAGTGTCAATTGCTTCAAGAAGAAAAAGGTAAGTTTTAGTACTTGTATGCTCTTCCCTCTGTAGGATGATTGACATCTCTTAAATCATCTCCAATAGGTTTGTTCTAAAATGTCACTTTAGCCTGGTTTGTTCCTGTAGCCTCAGCTGGGGCTGGGGGCCCTTTGGCCCCCAGAGGGGCTCACTGACCCCCTGCTTCCTCCTGGCTCAGACCATGGCTCCCTCCCTCCTACACTGTCTTCAGCCCCTTCTCTCCCGTTTCTGTGGGGATGGAGTTTCCGTAGGGCGCACGAGAACCTTTGTCCAGTATTATCAGTGGGGAGAACCATTGCTACCCCAAAGAAAAGGGGTTTCAAACCACCACAGCTCCCATCCCATCACCTGGGTAGACCTGATGTCCCAAACTCACCTGAGACACCCCCCCCCACAAAACTCACCTGGGACCCCCCCAGCACCCACAGGTGACCCCCCCCCCGGGACACCCCCAAATACCTGAGACCCCCCTCAAAATTTGGGACCCCCCCGGATCTCTGGGACCCCCCCCGAGACCCCCCCCCAAATCTGCCCCCATTGACTGGGACACACCTGAGGGGGGATTTTGGGGGTCCTTGGGAGGATTTTGGGGGTCCCGGGGGGGGGGTTGGGGTCCCTGAGGGGGATTTTTGGGTTTTCCAGGGGGGATTTTGGCAACCGGGGGCAAATTTTGGGGATTCCAGGGGGGATTTTAGGGTCCCGGGGGGATTTTTTGGGGTCCTTGGGGGGATTTTTTGGGGTCCAAGAGGGGTTTTGGGGTCCATGGAAGGATTTTGGGGTCCCAGGGGGGATTTTGGGTGTCCAAGGGGGGATTTGGGGTCCCTGGGGAGGATTTTCGGGGATCCAAGAGGGGATTTTGGGGTCCAAGAGGGATTTTTGGGGGTCCAAGAGGGGTTTTGGGGCTCCTGGAGGGATTTTTGGGGTCTCTGGGGAGTTTTTAGGGGTTCCAGGGGGGGATTTGGGGGTTCCTGGGGGGATTTTTGGGGCCCAAGTGGGGATTTTTGGGGGTTTCAGGGGGGATTTTGGGGTCCAAGGGCACATTTTGGGGGTTCAAGGGGGGAGTTTTGGGGTCCCTGGGGGGGGATTTTGGGGGTCCAAGGGGGGATTTTGGGGGTCCCGGGGGGGGGGTTGAGAGTTACTGGGAGGGCACTGGGTGGTTACTGGGAGCACTGGGAGGGCACTGGGGGGTTACTGGGAGGGCACTGGGGGGTTACTGGGAGCACTGGGAGGGCACTGGGGGGTTACTGGGCAGTTACTCGTAGGTCACTGGGAGCACTGGGAGGTTACTGGGAGGGCACTGGGCAGTTACTGGGAGCACTGGGGGGTTACGGGGCAGTTACTGGGAGCACTGGGAGGGCACTGGAGGATTACTGGGAGGGCACTGGGGGGTCACTGGGAGCACTGGGGGAGCACTGGGAGGGCACTGGGGGGTTAATGGGAGGTCACTGGGGGGTTACTGGGAGGTCACTGGGCAGTTACTGGGAGCACTGGGAGGAACTTGGGGTCTCTCCTCAATCCCTGCCCCCCCACAGACCACGCCCCCTCATCTGCAAACACCTTTATTGACCAATCAGAGCTCCCCTTCCCCTCTCATGGGCGGGGCTCCATTGGCCCCTCCCCTTCTCCCAGTGTGAACATTTATTGACCAATCACAGTTCCCCTTTCCCCCC